TATCATGCTCCCACTAACATGATGATTATTAGCATAACACTTATGCTCCCACTAGCTTTGACATGTAGTCAGAAATTAACTGGACTTCTAGAAATCAATACTTTATTGACTTTCTTTCCAAAGTTCAGATTTCTGATACTAGATTGTTTTGATAAAACTTTATCAAAATCATACACTTTTCCTTAGATAGCACACTTCTGTGTCTTAACAATTTAAGAACTATGAAAAGGGATGTCGTAATCATAGTCTCGATTGTTTAGACCTTTGCCACTTCTCACAAGTCCAGGTTAGTGTGCCGGTAAACCACACACGCTCCACTAACGACTTTGAGAATGCAAATATTACAATTGCTATCTAGCTAAAATATACTTAGTGAAAGAGTTTCCTCACAATCATTTTCATGAATCAGAGAGAAACCTTATGACACTTAGATTTACTGGTGTATGTGTTCTTATCCATGTGAATTGTCAAGACCATAGTCACAATACTAGGTTAGTGACAAATCCTAACTCATATGGATTGAACTTGTGCAATCTTATCTTCTTGCCACCTGGCAGCTCAAGAGCCTGCCATTGCTTCCAAGTTGTTGCTCAACCAATTGAGAACTCTAAGAACTCGTATGTAAAGCCAACTTTAACTGGAATGGGCACAAAATATGTCAACATGATAGGTTATAAACCTCAAGTCGTGTGCTAGTGAAGAACTTCAGGTTTTATTCTTGATTAGTTCTTGAGACTTTCAAGACCTTTAAGACTCCCATTGTCCTCTTGACCTATAAGACTCCCTTTTCAAACATCCAAGAGGTAGTGCGGATTCTAATCAAGACAAACACTACACACAATTGGCCTTAGTTGGTCTTTGTTTTATCCAAAACATCACAACTTACCAATTTCAAATGTACAAGAGTAGGAAACTTTTTCTCTTACATTTGACAAGTGTTTTAAACCTTCTTTAACACATATCACTCAAATTACAATCTTGGAGTATGACTCTAAGACTTATATTGGAACGAAGTATGACTCATCTTCTTGACTTAACCATTTCAACAATTCAAGATTCCTCTTCTTAGTCATAAGAATGCACTAAGATTCCCTTAGAGAAATAATTGTTCTATGGTTTCTTAATCATTAAGATGATCACAAAATCTGATACTAAAGTACTCTCCCATCTTTTTAGATTTGAGAAATTTTTATCTTTCTGCCTAAGTTGATTCTTCTTATTCACTCTACCTTACATTGGAACCTTTTCTAATGTCTCATAGTTACATTCAAGCTTGTAAGTATAACCATATTTACTGAGCTTTAGTAAACTATGAAGAATAATCTTATCAATCTTTTGTGGTGGACTTAATCAATGCACAAGAATGTGTACTCGATCCCTTAGTCCATTACTTGACTCACACATCCATGTGATCAAGTAATTATTCTTAATTTTCCAATAATTGAAAGTTCTCATTCATCATGCTATACAACTTGCATGATTTCAAGTTCCGGTCTAATTGAAACTTGGGTGATGAGAATCTTTCCTTATTTGGTAAATTTAGACATTACCACAAATGAAAGAATCAATTTCATATTTCCACTCTTGCTATTAATGGAATCTTTATAAGCAACAATTTTTCCTCAAATTCCATTGTAAGGATATTTCAAAATAAATAAAATCAAAAATTTTCTTTTATTTTAAAACTTTACAGAAAAACTTATCCTTACAATCCATATGAAAACTTGTTGTTATCTATTCCTAAGCAATATCTCATAACTCCTAAGAAGTAGCTCAAGAATCCAATCTTCAAACTATGCGATAGAAATCCATCTATGCGATCAGATTCAGCATGTTCTTTCTTTAAGTTTCTTCACTTTTCTTTGATTCTTAAAACATCACCATGTGACCCAGTCACATCATGTATCAAGAATCTCATAATAGAAACTTAGCAGAGTTAGATAGCGGACTTTACCTGAAGTAGAGTCAAACTTATTGACTTTAACAACCTTAGGTAAATTTGGCAGCTTCGCAGCTAATGACCCTTCCTTTGGCAATATAAACATATGGACCCTTTGATAATGGTACACGGGAGTATCTCAGACTTAGCCTTTCTCTTTACCATTTGGTCAACCGATTTTACTATGGCCGATCCCTTTCCACTCGGAAGAGAGAGCTTTACTAGATATCCAATGTTATCATTGTCAATGTCCATAAAGTTTTAGGAAGTTGATCTTAGCAAATAGATAAGATCATTAAGGGTCTTGTCATAGTCTGTTTCATAGGTGTCCCAAAAGAACTCACTATGTGACTTAGAAAGTAGTTGAACCACCAACTTTCTCAAGACTTTGACACCCAACTCTCCCGGCTTGCCAATATGTGACTACATCTCCAAGATATGATCACACCTAGACCTTGCCTTGCCAATAGGGCTTGAGTGACCTTAAACTTGTGGGTTAGGGAGAATAATTGGAGGAGGTTAAAGAAGTATGATTTCCAAAGGACATCATCTTCATTTAGGAAAGCTTGTTTCAAGAGATTTGGAAGATCATAGATGTCTAGACCAGACATCTTTTGGGAGATATTCAAGATAATTGATCTTAAGTCCTTAATATGACACCCAATATGAAATATTAAGGCTAGGACCCTACAAACTATTTTATAACTTAGAAGAGGGATGCCGTAATCCAAGCTATAAAATATTTGAAGGTAGGTGAATGACGATTCACCAATTTCCACCAAGATAAACGAAACGTATGATTAGGTTTTAATTGGATTTGAAACTCCTAGATCTTTGAGATTCATTGAACTATTCAATGGCATGTTTCAATCTCGTGTGTGCCCTTCAGGTTTTGTGACTGGGATGCCGAGGATCACAAAACAAGGTGTGAAGTAACCATGCAAATTACTTGGTACCCTTAAGTGTTTACCCCTCAATCGATGTGCCGGTTAACCACACACGCTCCATCGATACTATGATAAACATTAAGTTACCCTTTGCCTACCTTGTTAAATACGAGTTAGTGTGCCGGTTAACCACACACGCTCCACTAACCGACTTAAACAAAGTGCAAAGTGTAATTTCATGGATTAGCACCTTATTCACATTTTTCCTAAGTAACTAAGATTGGGTATTATTAAGAGTTTAGTTACTTAGTATTTATCATTAATACTTTTAATGAAGGGAGAATTATAGTCCTGTCAAACCCGTTCGGCTAACGACCCTCCACCGGTCAAGGAAGCGGTGGGTGAGAGTGGACACCCATTAAACTGCCATTTTATAGGCAGTAACCTTATACCCCCTTATAGACCGGCTTCGTGAATGAGGCCTACTAACGGTAAGACTGACTTTACTCTTATACATACATATATATATATATATATATATATATATATATATATATATATATATATATATATATATATATATATATATATATAACATTATTAACTTATAATATTATAAAGTATAAGGGTTGAATTTTAACTTTTAAAATTCTAAGGGCTAACTTGGAATTAAAGTATTCATAAGAGAACACTTTTCAAATTCCAAAACTTGAGGGCAAGTTTTGAAATTATTCAAAACTAATTAATTCCATAACTTATGTGTTTAAAGTAGTTTTAATCCAAAAACTCTTCAAGTTCCATAACTTGAGGACAAGTTATGGAAGACTTTAAACTAACAAAAGAATCAACTTATCTTTATTTTGTAACTTATGGAATTAATTAAGGTTACACATTTTATTACTTAATGAAGTGACTCTTGAACTTCCATAACTTGAGGACAAGTTATGGAATCATAAAACCATTCAATGAGACAAGACTCTTCATTTTTATAACCTTTGCCAACTTTTATGAGTTTTATGAAACTTAAATGTGACGTTTCATATAACTTAAGGACAAGTTACAAAAACACATTTTAGAATCAACTCTTAGATTAATTTGGATTGAAAACAACTATTTCACTCAACTTTTCTATTAATCTAAGCAACTCATAAGAACAAGATAATTCAAATCAAACTTTTTCATGTAATTAGTCTAAACTTTAAACTAATACAAAACATGAATCTATTGACAATTATCTTTGAAATTAGATTAGCATGAACATTACCACATCAAAAACAAGTTTATAAGTCCAAAAACATCTTAGGGTAATGTTCCTAGTGCAATTCCAGCCAAAAAAAGTCGAATTTATGCTGTCTGGGGTTCCAACTCGTCGAGTGCACGAACCAACTCGGCAAGTTGGATCAATTTTGCCTTGGACTCGGCGAGTCTGCTGGGCAGACAGCAACAAAACTCAATTTTTCAGCTTCAATTGCAAGTATAACAATAAAACAAGCCTAGGCTCTGATACCACTGTTGGGTTTTGAGCATTCTAACACTCCTATGGTGTACATGCAACCCTATAAACCTTGGATCTATGTTTTCTCTATTATACATGCAAATAAGAACTTTCCAAGGCTTTAATCCTAACTAGCATATTATGAAGTTCTTATACTACAAAGTACTAGTTAGATGACATACCTTTTGATGTAGCTTGATGTCTTCAAGCTTTAAGAGCTTAGCCCCAATAATGTAGAAGCCTCAAGTGGAATCACAAATCACCAAAACACCTTGGAAGACTTTAGAGAATATGGATACTTGGTTCTCTCTAGTGAAATTGGCAAGCCCTTCTTAGTGTACCACACTAGTGCCAATTTCACCAACCAATGACATCTTTATATAGTATGGAGATTAGGGTTAAACCCATGACCTTTCATTTCATATGATCCATGGGTTAAACACTCCATGGACTATCCATGAGAGCTTAGCCCAGCCTAAATGAACTTGGCCCATTCCATATATATAAGAGTCCATATTTAATTAGTTCATTTTGATCACTTAATTAATTCTAAATTAATTCTTGATCAATACTAATTAAATAATATGATTCCATATTAATATATTAGAACTTATAATATATTAATATTAATCATAAATATATTATTCTCAAAAGACTATCCATATAAATTGTGTCGGTGATGTGCAACCCAAATGGATCATGCCGGGTCGGGTCAAGTACACACCAAATATAGTTATGGCCTTAGACATTAATCCAACAGTTACCATGTGAAAAACATCTATTGATTCTACATTGTCTCAAAGAAGGATGTTGCATTACTGTTGAGGGATCTGCTTCTTTCCTTGAAGATGCCATTATAACCCCTCCTGTTAATGGAATAAACGTAAGTTTCACATAAATCTTTAATAGATTGCTTAATGATTTCCACATTTGGTTTGTTGATTTTATTTATCTTTTGTATTACATTTATTAGGCCACAGTTGATGAAGATGATGAGAATGATGTGGATATTTTCGGTGAGGAAACTAGAGAGGAAAAGTAAGTTATTGAAGAATGCACAGAAAAATAAATCTGGATAGAAGAAAGAATGTGAGTTTGACGCATTGTGCTATCTCCTTGTACTCTTTAATTTCACCATTTAGTTGTTTACTAACAATGTTTTTTGTTTATATTTTATGATTATAAGCTAGACAATCTTCAATTTTGATGGATGTAAAGCCATGGGATGATGAACCTGACATGAAGAAGCTATGAGAAGTGTTCATTTGGATGGATTGCTTTGGGGTGCATTTCAGTTGTTCATTTTTTTCTTTTTAATAAAATGGGAAAATGATAGATGATTAATTATATGATTATAGGAAAGTTGGTTCTAGTTGGGTATAGATCAAGAAGCTTCAGATCATGATGACTATTGTTGATGATTTGCTGTCTATTGATACGCTTATTAAAGAAAGACTTTGTCAGGAAGCCATTAATGAGTTTGTTCAAAGCTGTGATATTGTTGCCTTGAACTATATCTATAAGTTCATTGTTTTAATCATTTTTTTTTATCAAAAGTTATATGATTTATTAGTTTACTAATGTGATTGGTTTTGTGACTGTAGAGTTCGATGATGATGCTCATGGTTTATGATTTTATTTGTGATGTTGTTGATTTTGTTCTTTTGCTATTTTGTGCTTTTTTGCTATTGTTGTTTTGTGACTATTTATGTTTTGTTATTTTGTAGTTTGTTGCTGACTTGTTAAATTCCACTTGTTGTTGTTTTAAGATCAAGTCTTTTTAATCGTATTAGTTTATATCTTGAGCTCCTATTGCTTATAAAGGTTAATTTTAATGGCATGTACAAAATTATATATATATATATATATATATATATATATATATATATATATATATATATATATATATATATATATATATATATATATTCAAAAAATTGGGTACCTGGAACCAGAACTAGTCTTGGTGGTTCCGACAGCGGTTCCAAATTTCTAGGAACTTGTGTAAGCGATTCCGAATCCAATACCAATAATTTCAGAACCGCCGATTCCCCAAGTGGTTCTGGTTCATGCTAAAATAGGGGGGTACCCGGTTGTGCTCATCGATAGTCGTGGTCTCCATCCATTCACGCTTTTCCTTTAAATGACATGCAACGTCGTGGTCATCAACACACTACGGTGTGAAATAACATGTTTCCCCTAAAACCTTATCTTTGACCCCATTAAATCATCAACTGATCCATTCTGGGAAATGAGTGTTAAAAAATTGGTTTAACTTTATAGAATAAAAGTAAAGTTCCTTTTGAGTTTCCCTCAATAACTATAAATAGCTAGAAATGGATTTAGGAGAGAGATAAAAGGATGTATTAATATATCATATGATTAATTAGTTAATTAGAAACAGTAGGAATTAATTAATTATTAATAGAATTAATTTGGAAGTACTTTGAGACTAATTAGAATTAATTAAAGGTGTAGGCATTGACTTGTAATTGTTCAAAATTTGAGCAAGAAATGCAATTCTAGAACTCTCCAAAGTATGGACGCTTTTGGGAAGGCTTTTAGGGTTCTAGAAGCCTCCTAGAGCTGATAAGGATAACCGCCTTGAATAGATTATATCTAATATCTACTTATTCAAATTAGGGTTTATCCTTGTGATATACTAGCTATAAATAGGACCCCCTGCCATATTATGTTTGTGGCTAATGATTCTAAGGAATTTAAATTTGAATTTCACTTTTTTATCCTCACTCCTTCTGACTTATAGGGTTCTAGGGTATTGGTTGTGAGCCATTAAAGACGTTCATACTTTTGACATTTGCTTTCCATGAGCTATCGAAGATCAAAGGAGTTAGTATATTCGATTATACTAAAAGGAATGTTACTAATCTTATAATTTTTTCATATTGGTAGATTAGATCGGTTTGTTTATAGTATGTTGTTATAATGAGAAAATATCATAGATCTATAGTTTACATGTGCCCACTAATAGTTTTAAGATTCTGTTGTGTTGTTTTTATGTTTTATTGTAACCTAGAATACTGTAACACGTCAACCTGCTATGTTTCAATATTGCCCCTTATGTATTTTAAAATTTTCAATTTGACCCTTGTGTAGTATGTAGGGCGTACCAAAGGGCACACTTGGTGTAAAAGCTTTGAAGTGAATATGCAGGGCGTACCACGTGGTACACTTAGTGTACTCATGTGAGGAAGGAATGGGCATCGGGACATGTATGCGGGGCATACGTGGCAACTAATGAAAACCCTAATTTCGGGGTTGGACACTATATAAACACATTAAGGGCTCATGAAACCCTCATTTCTAAACCTCCAATGACCTTAAATCCTTATACATGAAACCCTAAACCTCTCATTTGTGTTTGAGCTCATTGTGTCCATTTTAGGTGTGTTTTGGTCCATAACCAAGAAGAAGGGGCTTAGTACAAGATTGTTAATCAAGAAGAGCTTGTGGATTCTGGTTCTCTACTTTATTTCCAGCTTACATGAGGTAAAAAGCTATGATCTTGTTCATTTATGACTTAGATCTATATATATATATATATATATATATATATATATATATATATATATATATATATATATATATATGAGTTTTGGACCCATTTTGGCCCCAAGGATGAGATTTAGTGGTTTGATACCACTCCAATAACTTTGAGTTGCCACTCTTGGTGTTTTTGAGGTTCAAGGTCGATAAAAGTTAGCACCTTTAGGGTTTAGAATCATCCATGCATGAGATTGTGTTCATTTGTTGTAATTACAATGTTATATCTTGAAGTTGGATCCTTTTCAGTATAGCTCGTTAGACCCTCCGGTCCGGTCTCGGTGAAGACCCTTCAGTCTCACGACTCGTTGGACACTCCAGTCCAGTCTCAGTGAAGACTCTTCGGTCTCGCGGCTCGTTGGACCCTCCGGTCTGGTCTCAATGTGGACCCTCCGGTCTCACGGCTCGTTGGACCCTCCGATCCGGTCTCAATAACACATAATATAGCATATATATCACACACACAAAATGCATAACTCAAGTAAACACATAAGACCCTCTGGTCACTCATAGATACCACTCTTGGTAAGTATAGTGAGGAGACTCACCTCGCTAGCTTGCAAGAAATTAACCTCATACTCGATTCTCGAACTAGCCTCCGCCTAACCCAAAGGATAAATATCTCCAAATAATACTATGTTCACGACTCTAATAACCGAAGGTTATTCTTTTTCTCTCTAACTCTTGAAGTGGATAAAATACCATTTTACCCCTCCATTGTCTCCATTACTCATGTTTGACCAAACCCTAAAGTCAGTAGAAGTCAAACTCAAGACAACAGTCCATGTTTGACCCGACTCGCCGAGTGCACCTATGTAACTCGTCGAGTCCACTCGATTTCCTCGGAATTCTCGTGAAGGTCCAGCTCATCTCGTTGAGTTGACACCCAACTCGCCGAGTTATCGCATAATCAAGCTCATCGGAACAAACCCTCGCTAACTTGTCGAGTCGGCTTATCGACTCGGCAAGTCCATGCGAACTAATTCCCCATTCAGACGATTCTAAGCAGATCTACCACTCCAAACACTAGATCTAACATCTGAACACTCATTTGTCACATAATGCTTCAATCTTTACGTTTATGCACGGTAATTTTTCTCAAACATACCAAAGCATGATCTCACAAGGTTTTAAGCACAAAATTCCCCATGTGGATGAATAAAGTTGGGACCTTTGGACTCTAGGGACCTCACAAGGTCCAGATATGAGGTTTAGACCACATGATAACTCTATATGCTCGAAGTCCCATCAAAAGGTGGAAGAAACCCTAATCTTCCATAGTCATGAGATCTAGGCAAATAAATAAGAAAGGTGCAAGCTTTTACTTCCCATTGCAACCCTTGCATGAAGATACACCGAATCCAACTGATTCTTTTGCTTCCTTGGAGGATAATCTTCTCATCTACAGAAGAGGTGTACTATTTTACTCCAAGTTTAGCTTCTAAGACCCTCCTTAATCACTACACATGTTTAGGGTTTTACACAGGAAGGTTAGGCAGATGGGGAGGCAGAAATGAGGCATAAGTTTTCTTATATAGGCCCCCAACCCAACGAAATTAGGGTTTCTCTGCCCAGCACCAACTCGGCGAGTCGGCTCTCTGACTCGTCGAGTCCAATCATTAATCCCACAAGTTCAACACGACTCTACCGACGAGTTGGACTCACAACTCGTCGAGTCCCTCAATACACTTCAACGTTAAACTCATGAATAATATACCTGGGAGTACGGATGTTACAATTCTCCCCCACTTGAATTAGATTTCGCCCTTGAAATCACTCCTCAACATCACAAAGATCGAACCCAACATCCCTAAAAGCACCACCGAAAGAATCTCTTACCACACAACTATCTTCCTCTAGGGACACCTGAATACCAACAGGAACTCCCAAACCTGAAAAAGGACAGGCCTATATGCCGCTGCGGTGCTCGATCTGACTCTCTATAACTTGAAAGCGGTGAAATCAGCTCAAAATGATCCTCTGACACTCTTAATCATAAGCCCTAGTTTATCTCAATGTCCCTTCCAATATTGAGCACCGGGTCAACTCCGACCTAATAGTTGAACCTCCGATGGTTACTCATTGCACACCTAATAAAATGACTTACCGGCTTCCTTCTCACAAACTATCTTGGCTCATTGTGACACACTAGTCACGAAGTTAGCTTCACCCCAAGTGAATGCTACAACCCCCTCCAAATTCCTCTCACTTTTTACCTGTATCGTCTACCATCTGTTGGTTCCATGTGTCTCGCAGTTCTTCCCAAACCAACGAAAACTGACCCACCCCGGTCTGAGACATCCGATGGTGATCAATACCCCTCAAAATGAAACCCATTTACAAAACCGAAACCTCATCTCGCTTACTCAATACACGAATGGACCCAAATCAGCTCAAGAGTATGATTCAACAGCAGAATTGGAACCACTCATTTCCAATCTGGTACTTAACTCATGACCCAAAATTCACGAATTTATGCACACACCATCTCTTCAATTCCTTCCGATTACGATAATCCCTTCTCAACCCGAGATATATCAATTCTCGACCATCGCAGAGACCCCAGTCTCGCCCCTGGTTCGGCAATCAAGTTCCCAATGACTCAAGTGGTAAGGCTACCCAAGCCTAAGAACTCTCTGCGTCATACTCTGACTAGTAGGGTTGCGGCTCCCTGCGGTCTTACAACACTT